AGTTTAGGGGTTCAAGGTCTAGGCTTTTTAGGAGTTAGGGAGTTCAGGGCTTCTGGGGATTCAGAAATTTCACGTTGATACCTACACCCCTTCCCCTCTCCGAACCCAAAACTCCAAACTCCTACGCCCCAACTCAGAAGGAGCCAGGGGCGTGGAGCCCCATAATTTGTCATTCCCGTATTCGGGTGCCCTAAACCCTGAACCCTAAACCCTAAACCCTAAACCCTAAACCCTAAACCCTAAACCCTAAACCCTAAACCCTGTGAAGGGCTTTGGGCTTCGTTAAGGTCTTGATATGGAGGAAGATGGGCCATCCAGCCTAGGACTCCAAAACCCAGAAGCCCGAAACCCCTGAAGCCTCGAACCTCCTAGCCCCTAATCCCGAAACCCTAAACCCCCTAAGCCTCCTAAACCCCCTAAACCTTGACACCCCCTCCCTAAACCCTAAACAATGAACCCCCCATCCTTATTTAGGCGTATGAAGGGCTCGTTTGGGGGGGAAGATGGGCCATCGACACCCCTGGTAGGACTCCAAACTCCAACGCCCGAAACCCCTGAAGCCTCTAACGTCCTAGCCCCTAATCCCGAAACCCTAACTAAACCTCTGAACCCCTGAAGCCTCGAACTTGCTAGCCCCTGATCTGAAACCAAACCCCCTAAACCCTAAAACCCCCTCAAAACAACCTCCAGCCGGCAGGAACATGAGAGTGAAAGGAGAGGAGACACAGAAGCGCCTTTCGGCGCTACTCACGTTTGTGGGGGCGCCCAGGCTGCTGCTGCCCCCCTGAGCCACTAAACCCCTCAACCCTGTTTAGGGTTTAGGGCTAGGGTTCAGGGCTTCGAGTTTAGGGTTTAGGGTTTATAGGGTTTAGGGTTTAGGGGAACAGGGCCCTAAACCCGAGGATCCTGAACCCCCTCAACTGGGGTTGATTTGGCATAATGGTCTTCAAGCTCTGTGGGCCCTGTTCTGGGCTCCCAAAACCCTCCCCAGCGAAAAGCATATCACTTACACCCCGATCCCTCCTAACACTTTTTAGGGTTTAGGGTTTAGGGGTTTAGGGTTTAGGGTTTGGGGTTTAGGGTTTAGGGTTTAGGGCAAACCCCCCAAAACACCCTAAATCCTAAAACCCTAAACCCTTACACTCCACAACCCTCGAAGCCTAAGCCCCAGGCGCAATCTTTCAAGACCAAGCAGCCCTTTGTGGCAAAGCCGTTGAAGCCGCGCAACTGGCACGTTTGGGAACTTCAGAGCCTTCGTTCTGAAGGGTTTTTGATTCAGTTTAGGGTTTGGGGTTTGGGGTTTAGGGTTTAGGGTGTAGTTTAGGTTCGGCGTCTGGGGTTTTGGGGTTCAGATTGCAGGGTTTATTGCAATGGTTACAGCTTCAGGTCTGGGAAAGTTTCGGGCATAAGTTGCGAGGAGTTTGTTTTCAATTGGAGGGGGGGGCTTCAGGGTGGAGGGTTTAGTTTTGCCCCAAGAATTCAGGACACGTGTTTCCGGGATAGCACGTGCCCCTGTTTAGCCCCTCATGTTACAACAAAAACCCTGAACCCTAAACTCTAATCCAGAGCCGGGTGGGTTAGGACATCTTGCTTGGGGGGGATGTGTCCTTTGTTCCAGAGGGATGTGGTGGGAAAGGTAGGTTTCTTTTCGGGTTTAGGGTTTAGGGTTTAGGGGTTTAGGGGTTTAGGGGTTTAGGGTTTAGGGTTTAGGGTTCAGCATCTCATGTTCTGTTGGAAGGGGCTCTGAAAGGAGGCACCGGGGCAGGCCCTTAGAAAGCCTTTGGGAGCCCTCGACCGGAACTTGAGAGAAGGAACCGTCTACTTGCCTATAGCTCCCTTAGGAGTTATTCCCCACCCTCGGTGGTGGGGTTGTTAGATTTTAAGCTCAACTCTTCTCCTCGCCCGGAGCTCTTCTCCTCGCCCCGTCTACTCCTCGCTCGTCCCTGGAGTGCCCAACCCCAGAGTGTCCCGGGAGTGCCAAGCCCCGAGTGTTGCCCCAGAGTGTGTCCCTGGAGTGTCGAACCTGGAGTGCCCAACCCCAACCAGAGTATCTCTACCCGGAGAGGGCGGGGATGTTCGAAGAAACATGATCATCCTTTTTTGTTTGTATAACACCCAAAGGAAATTAAGCATAGTATTTGTGTGAAGGTTCTCAGAAAATTTACTTGCTTGAGCCCTTAAACTCGTTAGAGTCTAAGGATAACACAGAGCCTTGCAAAACAGCCGAAACTCCTTGTCCCTGCAGGCTCCGCAACCCTAAGGCCTAAACACTCAACCCTCGACCCTAAACCCTAAACCCTAACCCCTAAACCCTAAACTCTCAAGAGCCCCTTTGTGCCCTCCTGAGCGCCCCCCGAGCAACGTGCAGGGCCGCCCCCTCCCCGCCGCCGGTCGCGGCAGCCGGAGACCTCGGAGGGTTTAGGGTTTAGGGTTGAGGGTGTAGCAGTTTAGGGTTTAGAAAATTTAGGGTTTAGGGCTTAGGGTTGAGGGTTGAGCCCCTAACCCCTTAGCCCTCGACCCCTAGGGTCCTAGACAGGCCCTAAATGCAAACCATCATCTCTGCACATAACCCTCAGTCAACTCTCTTTCAGGGCTAGTGGGGGGGGGGGTGTTAGGCGCATGAGGGTGATAGTGGCGAGCCCAGAACCCAGCTGCTTGCAAATCCAAGACTGTGTTGTGTCGGAATGATTGGGAAGGTTTGCGTGTGCAAGAGCTGGGCAATCGAGGACCTTTACGAGTCCGACTGGAGCACAGAACCTGGCCACACGATCTTCCCAGCGCCAGGCATCATGCCTCAATGTGCCTTCCTCGCTGTCCTCGCAGGCATCTCACGCATGGTAGGACGATTCGCTCTCCACCACCTTGAAGAGGCTCTACAACTGATGTCGGTTTCTTCTCCGGCCCTGATGGAGATTCAGCACCCCCAACTTCGGTTCTAACCGAGGTACCATGTACTCAGGAGATTTACGGATGCTTCAGTACTGGGTATCGGGCCTAGCAACTGGGTCATCAGGGTCGAGGGCTTCACGGCTGATAGTTGAGGGCTTTGCAGGGGCGCTTTCAGTAGGGCCTTATGCCTTCATGGTTCGAGCGCTTCAAAACCACCTTGGGGGTACTACCGAGTTTTTGTTTTGGGGGGTTTAGGAGTTTAGGGTTTAGGGTTTATGGGTCAGGATTTCCAATGAGTTTGGAGTACTCAGCAGGCTTGCGGGCATTCTTTGCTTTTGTGGTGCCCGTCGTGCTTAAAAGCCCAAATAAGGCTTAAGGGCTTAGTCCTATTTTGGTTTAGTCGTTTAGGCTTGGGGCTGAGGTGTTGTTTCCCTAAACAGCTCAGCCGAAATCCTAAACCCTAAACCCTAAACCCTAAACCCTAAACCCTAAACCCTAAACCCTAAACCCTAAACCCTAAACCCTAAACCCTAATTAATTAGACCCTAAACCCTAAACCCTCTTCGTCTTTGCGAACCCCCAAGGTGGCCAACCAGGTTGTACAGTTCGTCCCGGCCTGGGCCTCGCAGGGCCACAACGGGTGTTTGGGAGTTGCCCATATGGGCATTTCCCGGTTTAGGGTTTAGGGTTTAGGTTTGGGGTTTAGGGTTTAGGGTTTAGGGTTTAGGGTTTAGGGTTTAGGGTTTAGGGGTATTGAGGCCCCCGACATAGTATAATCCTTATGAAAAGGAACCCCCATTAAGAAAAAGGGGTGCCTCTACTTTCGGAACCCCCCCACATGGAAGAGTGTAGGGGAGGGTGGGTTTTTTTTTGGCCCGGAATGGGTACCCCCAGTAGTCGACCGCCGGACCAGGGGGGATTTGGGCCCAGGTATAGGGGGCGGATGCGAGAAGCAGCGTTTTCGGCCCCCACTAGGCTTAGAGGGTCCCTTGAAGCCTGCGCCCTCAGAAGTGATTGCCCACGAGGGACCCCGATTTGGAGAGCTGCCCAATTTGTCTGTGGCTCCTGCCACGAGGTTTTTTATAGAGCGAAAAGATACAAGACCTGTGAACATGTAGATCATGACGCAAGGGAAAATATGCGGATCCATCTGTTGATTGACTTTTAAATGCGAGGTTAACAGCAGTTCATAGGTGCATGTTGGGTTCTTCGTCGTCTTCAGAAAACACCCAACATTTCGAAGAACAAAGGGGAGATCAATGGCATAAGATAGTGTATCATCGCTTATGCGTGTTTGCAGGCGTACTTTCGTCTTTGCTCGCGCATACCTTTAAAAAAAGGAAATCGAAAAGCGACGCACGAAAAGACTCCTGCCAAAGAGCAAGTAAAAAGGAGAAGGTTAGAAGCCCCTACACAGCTTGAAGTCCTGTTCCCTTGTACTCTTATTTCAAGGACCCTGACCCATTTCAGAAGCCGACATGAAAATGCGTTCTCTTCTGCCTCGCTCTTACTGCGGATTGAGGTTTTTCTCGAGCCTTGCAGGATTCCTCTTAGTTGGCAGAAGCCGCACTTTGTTGTTCGCTAGAAGGCCTCATTAAAGGGCTCTCTATCTTCATAAGAATAAACACCCATATGTACCGTTGCGTGGGGTTTGTCCCCTTCTAGGCTTAAGCGACAGAGCCCTTGAGCCCGAACTAACGTGTCACGGCCCTAAGGCCCTACACACCCCCAACAAACCCTAAACCACAAACGACAAACCCCAAACCCTAAACTGAACCCTGAATCTGACTTCCAACTCTTGTTCCAACTCTTGAAGAAAAACCCAAAAGAAAAGATCCAGAACGTCGAACTTTGTTGTAAGCTGCTAACGTGAAGCTCCTCCCCAAACCTTGAATCCGCAACCTTCAGCTTCAGCCCCTAAGCCTGAAGCCCGTCTAAGCCCTGAGCCCTTAAACCCCTACACCCTGAAACCTCAAACCCGAAAGCCCTAAAGCCTTCACACCCTAAAACCCTAAACCCCCAAACTCCTAAACCCTAAAACCCTAAAACCCTCAAACCCTAAAGCCTGCATTGAGAACCCTAAACCCTGGACCGTGTACTCTTCCCTTCAGATGATGAACCCTGCGGCACTGTCGATCATGATGTCAGGACAAGGTCCAAGCATCCCGGGCCGCATAACTTTGTGTTTGGTGGAGGGTTTAGGGGTTAGGGGTTTAGGGTTTAGGGTTTAGGGTTTAGGGGGGGAGCGGGGGGGGTGATCAGGGCTTCGGAAGCTTACCCCAGCTTAGCTTGGCTTGGCCAGTGGTGCCCTTTTCATTTTTTCAAGGTTCCCTTATAGAGTGCCAAAAAATTGGGTACCCATGTTTTGATATGGTTACTGACCTGCTAAGTTTGCCACCCTCTTTGATACTTCATCGTCGCACGCCCCCCCTCCCCCACCAGGTTACACACCCCCGCACTCTTGACTCCTGGCAAAGTGCATTAGGGGTTCAGTGTGGCTTGCAAAGGACCAGTCGACAAATGGTACAGTTCAATCTACTGTACAGGTTTCCAGCCTACCGTGCTAGGTAGGCCCAATGGATATTTAGGAGATTTACCCCCCCCGATGGGCTGAAGGGGATCTCATGTCGGCATTTGTTTAGAGGGTTTGAAGGGCCAGGGTCCAGTTGAAGAGGAGTGTCGTCGAGTGCAACTTTCCCAGGGCTAGGCTAGGGTCTCTTGCAACTTTCAGGGTTGGGTGTTCTTATTGTCATTATTATTATTATCATTGTTAATGGTATTCTCTTTTTTTTTTTTTGGGGGGGGGGGGGGGGGGGGGTCATAGGCTTTTTGTTTTTGCTTAGTTTCTTTTTTTTCGCTGTTGTTGGGGATGGGGGGGGGGGGGGGGGGGGGGGGCTATACGTGTCAGAAAAACAGCGAGCTTGTCTCAGCAACTTCGTTCATTTAAGGCAACACTCCTGTTTGGGTTCTCAAGGTAAGCTTCAAGCCCCAAACCTCTAAACCCCTAATCCCCAAACCCTAAACCTCTAACCCCTAAACCCTTTTACCCTAAAACTCCCCTAGGCCCTTAAAACCACCCGAAAGACCTAAACCCTCAAAACAATCCGAGAACCCCTTAAACCTTAAAACATAAAAACAAAAAGCTAAAGCCCATAAAGCCCATGGAAAGCAAAAGAAAAAAGTTAAAGAAAAAACAACAACAAAAACACTGACTTCGACACCAGGCGGTCAGGTGCCTCCACACGGTGCTCCCCGGGTGCCAGGAGCGCGTCATGCGCACGTCAGCTTCGCACCTTCGTGGGCTTGGGGTTTCGGGGGTTTTGGGGGGGGTTTCGGAAGTTTAGGGTTTAGGGTTTAGGGTTTAGGGTTTAGGGTTTAGGGTTTAGGGTTTAGGGTTTAGGGTTTAGGGTTTAGGGTTTAGCTGACCCATAAACCCGAAGACCCAAACCCTCAATTCGAGTTTGAGAGTTTTGGGGGAGCCTCAGCGAAGCTCTAAACTCCCCGTTGTAGGGCTTGACAACATGAGAAGTTACAGAGGGGCTTCGTAAGTTTAAGCCTCCGAGCCTGATTGCGCGCCTTAGCAGAAGCTCGTCTGAGGTTTTCTGAGTGAGGGTCTCGAGTTCACAGAGTCTAGCTGCACGCGTGTAGCTGTATACCCTCAACCCTCAACCCTCAACCCTCAACCCTCAACCCTAAACCCTAAACCCTAAACCCTAAACCCCAAACTTAGAAGGCATGGTCACTGCGAGGGCTCCTGACCCCAAAAACCTCAAGTAGGCGTAAGAGCTGAAGAGCTGAACAGGCTGCAAGCCCTGAAGGCCCAAGCCCTAAAGGCCAGAACTTTACAGGGTTTAGGGTTTAGGGTTTAGGGTTTAGGGTTTAGGGTTACAGCCCGAAAACCAAGACCCTACAGTCCTAAACCCTCGAGGATACTTCATCTATCCTTTGCCTGGCGCCGAGACTGCTTCGTGCTTTCTGGGTTCAAGAGCTGTGCTCCTGATACGAGGATTCGGCTTTAGGTTTTTTTTTACTTCTAAGTACGTGGTCTAGGACCCAGAGTAGGCCCTTGTTCTCTTTGTTTTGGGGTTTAGGTTCCCTTGTTAGCATCTTAAACCAAAATGGGTACCCTTGTTATTCTTAGGTTACACTTGTGTCCTAGTATCGTTTAGGGTTTAGGGTTTGGGGCTTCGCGGAGCGCTTTCACCCATCTTGCTATGTTGTTGATCACAACTAGGGTGCCAAGTAGTCACCCAAGTTCTCACTTCAGCGCATGATGGTAACCAGGCCCAAGGCACGAAGCACTGAAGTTTAGGGTTTAGGGGTTCTGGGGTTGAATTTCGGGTTTAGGGTTTAGGGTTTAGGGTTTACGGTTAGATGCGTGCCATCATTTTGTCTACGACTTGTGAGGACTATGACGACTCGGTATGAAGCATTATGCTTGCACTTCATTGGTTAGGCAATATGTGTTCAGAGTTGAAGATCTTCTTGATCGCCATAATGCGCGCCAGCGCGTCTTTTATGGGCAGTTTGACAAGGTCCTCCAACACCCTAAACCCTAAAACCTAAAACCCAGACCCTAAACCTTACTAAACCCTAAACCCTAAACCCTAAACCCTAAACCCTAAACCCTAAACCCTAAACCCTAAACCCTAAACCCTAAACCCTAAACCCTAAACCCTAAACCCTAAACCCTAAACCCTAAACCCTAAACCCTAAACCCTAAGACCATGCCTGGAGGTGGAGTAGCACATGCCCTACCATCATCAGAGACGAAGCCCGTCGTTTTGGAACCACATTTGCTGGACAGCCCTAAGCCCTAAGCCCTAAACCCTAAGCCCTAAACCCTAAACCCTAAACCCTAAACCCTAAACCCTAAACCCTAAACCCTAAACCCTAAACCCTCACCGTTGCCCAGGCCCTTCCCCTGCATGGGGAGCAACACGCAAGCTCAGTCTCACCAGCAGCCCGGAGGTCCCAGGAATCAGGGCTTTCGGGGGTTTAGGGTTTAGGGTTTGGGGTTTGGGGTTTGGGGTTTAGGGTTTAGGGTTTGGGGTTTGGGGTTTAGGGTTTAGGGGGTTGAGGGTTGAGGGTTGAGGGTTGTGGATTGTTTAGGGTTTAGGGGCTTAGATTGTTGGGTCCTTGGGCCTCAGCCAGGAAGGAAGGGTTTATGGGGTCGACAATCTACCCCCTAAGACGGGGGTTTGGACGCTTTAGGGTGGTAGGTTGCCAAGGGCTAAGGAGGGTTTAGGGTTTAGGGTTTGGGGTTTAGGGTTTCGGGTTGTTTCGGCTGGGCAGTTGAACCCAAAACACCTCTTCAGAGCGACTTTCTGAAACAGTTGCCCCCCAAAAAAAACCCTGAAACCTAGAATCCTACACCCAGACACTCCTGTGCCACTAAGCCCTGAGCCCCTGAAGTCCAACGCTCCAATAGGGGGCTTAGGGCTTTCGATCGAGGGTTCGGGGGTCAGGGTTTAGGAGTTCGTGCCGTTGACGGCCAAGAAGGAGGTTTGGGGTTTAGGGCTTGAGGCTTTAGGATGAATTTAGGGTTTAGGGTTGAATAGAGTTTAGGGTTCTACACCACAAGGAGAATCACCACAACAGCGTTTGCCCACCGAACGCACAGAGACAAGCCTCATGGACTGGTCAAGTGACTGGAGGCACTAGCCCCAAGCTGGCAATGAGCCTTGAGGAAGGTCTCATGGGTGGGGGATGGGCTATGTTGCGAGACCAGGGGGTTTAGGGTTCAGGGTGCAGTCAGGCCGGCTGTAACAGAATCGAGCAAGGTCTCGAAAAACCGTGAACTCTCATGGGCTTCGGATGTTTGGGGCTTGTTCTCCAAGGGCTTTCTTCGCCTGCCGAGGCAGCCCACGAATGCCAGTTCTTCGAATGAGAAAGTGCTGACCACAGACCTTTTCAAGGCGTGGGGAAGAGGGCGGGGCCCCCTTAACGGTTACAATGAAGCCCTTAACCCCCAAAAGACCCCATAACCCCAAACGGGTTCCTTAAGATCGACTCCTTCGGATCCAGCGGTTTAGGGTTTCCCCAAACCCCCCCAAGTTTGGGAATTAGGGTCTAGGGTTCAGGGAATTTCTGGTCTTCTGTTTCTTTTCATGAGCCTAAGATTATGCCTCCCTGACTGTGCTTCTTCAGTTTAGCCTCCCCAAGCGCGAAACCGTAAATCCTAAACCCCTGTTCGGGCAAGTCTCCCAAAATAGGGTACCGCTCCTCTACCACCATTTCGTAAACGTCCCCATAATAAGGTCTAAGCTCTAAACCCTGAACCTTAAAACCCTGAATCCTGAATGCTAAACCCTAAACCCTAAACCCTAAACCCTATGCCCTCCTCGAGGAATGGCATGCGGAGGCTCCTCGCATTGTCGGTTTGCAACCACACCGCGAGGAGTTCTGGCTTCTTCGGTTCTTTACGGTTTAGGGTTTAGGGTTTAGGGGTTTAGGGTTTAGGGTTTAGGGTTTAGGGTTTAGGGTTTAGGGTTTAGGGTTTAGGGTTTAGGGTTTAGGGTTTAGGGTTTAGGGTTTAGGGTTTAGGGTTTAGGGGAGCACGGCGCGGTGCCCGGCCGTGGGTTGAAGTCCACATTTTCGGTTTTGCTCTGGTTTGAGGGTCGCTGCAGTCCCCCAAACCCTAAAAGATTTGGACTGGCAAAGCTACCTGCAGAAGTTGACGGCGCTTTGTTGACAAAAACAAGCCCGAAGCTGTTGGAGCAGATTAGCTTTGCAGATGTCTTTTCGGAAGCTTTCAACTAACACTCTCCGCTCAAACGTGAAGACGCAATGCAAAAGTGCACTTTCTACACATACCTCTCCGTACGCATATGCCTCCGGTACCACGGCCGCTTGTCCGCCGTGTACCATGTTGTTTAGGGTTTAGTGTTTATAGGGTTTACTACGAAGCTTTGTGCAACAAATTAGTACGACAAGAATCGCCCAAACCATTGTTTTGCAACTGGCGTGTCAGCATTCCTTCTGGAAGCCTACCACCGGAAGCACTTCAAGCGGTCGGTGCCGACTAGCGGCATCCGAAGACACGAGCTGCAAGCCCAAACCCCGGACCCTGAACCCAAAACCCGGAACCCCAAACCCTAAATTCTCTATCCCTAAACCCCAAACCCTAAACCCCGACCGTCGACGCGATGGTAAGATTACACAATGAATGGAACCCAGACAACCACAGTGTTGGGGTCCTCGTTTCAAGGCCCCAAATTTTACAGGTGCTTGGTGATTGGTTTAGGGTTTAGGGTTTAGGGTTTAGGGTTTGGGGTTTGGGGTTTGGGGTTTGGGGTTTGGGGTTTGGGGTTTGGGGTTTAGGGTTTAGCTTAGGGGGGTAGCAAATCCCTGATCCAGGACCTATCGGACAGTAGCGGCTGCAGCAAAACTACAGAGACCACGGAGATCACGGAGATCACCGAGATCACGGAGATCGCAGAAATCATGGAGGAGTGTGAGGGTTTCGGGCTTAGGGCTTGGGGCTTCGGGTTTAGGGTTTAGGGTTTAGGGTTTAGGGTTTGGTGCATTTTGTGCCTTAAGGGTTGAGGACTTGAGGCTTTAAAGGGTTTAACTGGTTAGTGAAGTGCATGTAGGGTTTAGGGCTTAGGGTTTAGGTCTTATTCTTCCCCTTTTTGGAGGGCTTCGGTCCCCTTACAACCCCCTTTAAACCACAAAGGGTGCCCTGTTTATTTCGTTACTCTTGGGTTTAGGGTTTAGGTTTTAGGGTTTAGGGTTTAGGGTGTGGGGTTTAGGGTTTAGGAAGTTTGAGAGGACACGCCCGCGACGCCTGTTCCGGCAAGCATGAGCGCTGCGGCTGCAACGGATTGGTTTTTGCTTCGCCTCTTGCACTCCCAAGGCCTAAACTCCTAAACCCTAAGCCCCAAACCCTAAAACCCAAACCCCAAACCTAAACCCCAAACCTAAACCCTAAACCGCAATGTAGGGGTTTAGGTCTCAGGGGGCTCGTGTCGCCAAATCCTCGGGTATTGTCCCGTACCTTTCTCCTCAAAACCCCTGAACTCTAAAGCCTAAACCCTGACGCCTTAACCCTAAATCCCAAACCCTAAACCTTCCTGGCTCAAAACCCAACTTTTCAACTTTTTCGCTTCTGGTAAGGTAGTTTATTCTGAAAGTTTCAACTTTTGTTTCCTTGGGTTTTGGGCCAGTAAGAAACTTACATCCTACAGCCTACATACGATGTGCTACACCCCGAAAACCCCGTAGCAAGCCCCTCACAGCAAACCTCAAGCACACCTGACTGTCCGCCCTGCAGCAGCCCATCCCCAAGCCCCAAAACCTAAACCCCACACCTCAAACCCCAAACCCCAAACCCCAAACCCCAAACCCCAAACCCCAAACCCCAAACCCCAAACCCCAAACCCCAAACCCCAAACCCCAAACCCCAAACCCCAAACCCTAAACCCTAAACCCTAAACCCTAAACCCAAGATGCGTCAAGGCGAGGATCATCTCAAGGCTCTGGCTGCTTAGGAGATGGGCAGTTCAGGTTGGTGGTGGATCGCAGCTTGGGTTTAGGGTTTAGGGTTTAGGGTTTAGGGTTTAGGTTTAGGGTTTAGGGCTAGGGATCGTGTTAGAGAATTTCGGTTTGTGGCTTCGGGATTAAGGCTTTCGAGAGAGGAGCTTAGGATCTACTGAGGCTTGACATTCCAAACCTTCCGTTTGGGGTTTAGGGTTTAGGGCTTAGGGCTTAGGGTTAGGGTTCAGGATTTATGGGGGATTGAGGTTTACAGTCCCTAAGCCCTAGGCCCGAACCCCCTGAAGCCAAATCCAGTAAAAGTAGCCCACGCTCCAGAACCTACCCCCAAAGCCTGAACCCCAGACCCTAAACCCTAAACCTTTTGTCCTCAAGCCCTAAGCCCCAAACCCCAAACCCTAAACTCGAAAGGCCCTAAACCCCCCACACCTTCTTAATAGGCTGGCAGCGATGATTCGACGCGCGCTTCGGATAGCGAGGACTGGAGCCCAGAACGTCGGAGGGGCGGGGTGGCCAGGAGTTTGGCTTTTAGAGTTTCGGGTTTGAGGGTTTTAGGGTGTTGGGGTTCAGGGTTTAGGGTTAGGGTTTAGGGCTTGGGGTATACGGGACGAACAGGTCGTGCAAGGATTTTTTGAGTAACAACTGGGGCTGTTAAGAGGGTTGCGATCAGATTCAGGCGAGCATCCTAAGCGCGTCCTAAGTGTTTTACACCCCACAAAAAGTACGCTATCTTATCAAACCGCCCTATAGCCCCCATATCCCGAGCCTTACACGGCCAAGCACGCGAACGCCCCCAGCCCTAAGCCCTCAGCCCTAAGCCCTAAACGCTAAACCCTAAACCCTAAGCCCGAAGCCCGAAGCCCTAAGCCCTAAACCCTAAACCCTAAACCTGTCCGCGCAGGAGTTCGCACCGGTGCGGACCCGCAAGAAGAGCAAGGCGGGGGAACCAAGGGTCGGTTCGGGTTCAGGGTTTCGGGTTCAGGGTTTCGGGTCTAGGGTTTAGGGTTTAGGGTTTAGGGTTCAGGGTTCAGGGGTTTTTTGGGGTTGTGGGGTTAGGGTTGATGAGGGTTGAGGGGTTCCAACCCGCAAGCCCCCAAACCCTGAACCGCCTAAACCGCCTAAACCCTATAAACCTGTAAACCCTAAGAACCCTAAATCCCATAAACCCGATTCTAAACTCATTCATGAACCCTACGCTGCGTCCTTGTTGGGTACCTGATTACAAGGCGGGGCCACGTTTTAGGGTGTAGGGTAAAAAGGCAACGCACAATCCAAGCGCAAAGACCCCCTAAAGTGTGCCAATCCTAGTTAGGCCGATTACACCCCCATTTAACCCAAGAAGCTAAAGTTAACCACACCCCCCCCCCCCGCAAACAAAATAAAAATGAAACAGAATCCACGTCAACCTTAACAATCGCGGACACCCTGAAAGTACCCTTAAACAATTTAGCAAAACCCCAACACCCAATGTGGAAGGCGCGAAAAGCACGCGGTTCGGAGGCACTCGAGCTGGGACCCTGGGGTGTCGACGCCTGGGTGTGGGGGGGGACAGTTTATTCTATTTTATTTCATGTTTATTTGTTTTTTGAGGTGAGGTCACTACAGTATCGTGAAGGCTGTGACGCCGCAAAGCGCTAGTCGTTGGAGAACTGACCGAGCATTGCATCCGGTTGCATTTTGCGCGTAGGCTTGTAGACTTGCCGGCTTTAGGGTTGGTATTTTGGGTGGGTTTAGAACTCAGAGTTAGCAGGGTTGAAAGCTTCGAGTATCGAGTTGCATTTTGGAGCTGGGTGCCTCCTGGTGGAAAGCCTTGGTTCCTAAAGCCCTGCTTCCGCACTCCCTACGAAGAACCAGCATGCATTTGGCTTCACGGCACCATAAAACCCCAAATCCTCAACCCTAAGCCCCTAAGCCCCTAAGCCCTTAAGCCCTTAAGCCCCTAAGCCCCTAAGCCCCTAAGCCCTGAACCCTTACCCCTGCTCATAAACCTCATAAGTCACATACGCGCATCGCAAGCCCACTTTGGTCCCTGACCCGTGGCTTATGGAGGCCGGCGTGGCCTTGACTGGTACTTGTCTCACGAACCCCAGGTGACAAACGATTTGGGTGTTCTAGGGATTTTCTATGAGTTGTGTGCCGGGGGGGAGGAGGGGCTTTGGCTTAATGATGCCAAGCTGCCAAACTTTAGGACAAATCTACTTCAGCAGTCAGTGAGCCCCCAACTTGGATCGGAAAACACTGGACCCTAAACCCCAGACCCTAGATGACTTGAGCCCCTACACCCTAAACCCTACACCCTACACCCTACACCCTGCACCCTAAACCCTGAACCCTGAACCCTAAACCCTGAACCCTGAACCCTAACCCCTAACCCCCCTAAACCCCTAAACCCCTAAACCCCTAAACCCCTAAACCCCTAACCCCTAAACCCCTAAACCCCTAACCCCTAAACCCCTAAACCCTACCCTAACCCCCCCTAAACCCCTGAAACCCCTAAACCCCTAAACCCCTAAACCCCTAAACCCCTAAACCCCTAAACCCTAAACCCCTAAACCCCTAAACCCCTAAACCCCTAAACCCTAAACCCTAAACCCTAAACCCTAAACCCTAAACCCTAAACCCTAAACCCTAAACCCTAAACCCTAAACCCTAAACCCCAAACCCCTAAACCCTAAACCTACGAGGTCGGAGCCGAAAGCTTCTTTTTCGCCCCCCAGTCCGGCGAGCCCCAGCCGCCCGAAGGTGCCTGGCCTTAGGGGGATGGACTTGGGCCTTCAGGGTTCAGGGTTTAGGGGGCTTAGGGGGTTTAGGGGGTTTAGGGGGGATAGGGGGTTTAGGGGGTTTAGGGATTCAGGGTTTAGGGTTTAGGGATTTAGGGATTTAGGGGTTTAGGGGTTTAGGGGTTTAGGGATTTAGGGGTTTAGGGGTTTAGGGGTTTAGGGGTTTAGGGGTTTAGGGGTTTAGGGGTTTAGGGGTTTAGGGGTTTGTGCCGGACTTGTTGTTTTTTTGCTTTCACCAGGTTTGCAGGGGTTCCGGGGTTTAATAGGTTTTACGGAAGTCGTAGGGTAGGGTTCATGGGTTTAGGGTTTAGGGTTTAGGGTATAGGGTTCATGGGTTTAGGGTGTAGGGTTTAGGGTTTAGGGTTTAGGGTTAGCGTTTAGGGCTCATAGGTTTATAGGGTTTGCCTTGGTTCCAGGGTTTACAGGGCTTAGGCCCCAAAAGAAGGCTGATTCTGCAAGGTTTGGAGTGTTTTTGATTTCGAGGCTTAGGGCGGAGGTGTTGAGGCTTAGTTACCTACCCTAGACCCTAAACCCGAAACCCTAGACCGTAAACCCTAAACCCTAAGCTCCTTTGTTGGGCGTCCGAAGGTGCCACCAACATGCCAAAACTTGGTAGCCCAGCGAATGCCTGCAACTGCAACTGTGGCGTGACGCTGGGGCTAAGGGTTATAGAGCCTAAACCTGAAACCCCCTCAACCTTGCAAGCCCTAACCCTCTAATCCCTGCCCCCTCATATTCAAGCCCCTTTACCACCCTAATATGGAATACTCCCATGATCGTTTTCTTAGGATATATTGGGGGGGGGTGGGGGGGGGTAATTAATACTAGGGGCTATAGCGGGGGAGGGGGGTTAATTTGATTTGGGGGAGGGGATGAAGCCCTAAATCCTAAACCCTTAAACCTAAACCTTAACGCTTATAAACCCTCAAGCCCTAAACCCTCCCGGTCTACTCACAAATAGTACTTCCTTATGGCCCCTAGATAATTATACGATAAATACAATAATCACCCAAAAAAACTAATTCCTAGGACCCCTAAACCCTAAACCCTAAACCCTGAACCCTAAACCCCAACCCCTAAACCCTAAACCCCTAAGCCCTAAACCCCTAAACCCTAAACCCTAAACCCTAAACCCTACACCTAAACTAGGCGCGTCAACCCAGGCTGGCTCTTGCTTCAATACCTTCAGGGCCCTGAACGTTGACATGCCCTCGAGGTGCGCGAATGGGCAATTTCCAAAAGTATGCACTGGGACATGGGCTTAGGGTTTAGGGTCTGGGGTTTAGGGTTAGGGTTGAGGTTTTAGGGTTAGGGTTTGGGTTGAGGGTTGAGGGTTTAGGGTTTCGGGTTTAGGGTTTAGGGTTTAGGGGCTTAAGGGTTTAGGGGCTTAAGGGCTTAAGGGCTTAAGGGCTAAAGGGCTTAAGGGTGTAAGGGTGCTCTCTATTTAGTATACCAGGGCAAGACTGCAATGGAGTACGGCTCAGGGTTTTGGGTTTGGGGTTGGCTCTACATTTCATGGCCACGGGTTGGTAGTCTTATGCCCTACAGAGGATAACTATCGCGGTGTTTTCCCTCTTGTGGGGCAAGGGGCGCAGTGTTCCTTACAGTTTACGGGCACCAACAAATGGGGCCCCCAGTGTTCCTTACAGTTTACGGGCACCAACAAATGGGGCCCCAAACCACCACCCCAACGGTGAGGGTTCTGTGTCAGGTTGGGGTCACGATGGTTGAGGGGTTGAAGGGTTCCCAGGCTCGCGCGGCTTTAAAGGCAACGGAATGGGGACAGGACGCCCAAGCCCTATAGACCCCAAACCCCCCTGCAGTCCGACCTTCCCCAGTGTGCAGCCCTATAAACCCGGAACCCTAGAATCCTGAACCCTAAACTTGCATAAACCCCCAAAGCCCCTGAACCCCTGAAGCCCTGAATCCTAAACCCTGAACCCCTGAACCCCTAAACCCCAAACCCCAAGCCCTAAACCCTAAACCCTAAACCCTAAACCCTAAACCCTAAACCCTAAACCCTAAACCCTAAACCCTAAACCCTAAAGCCCTAAACCCTAAACCCTAAACCCTAAACCCTAAACCCTAAACCCTAAACCCTAAACCCTAAACCCTAAACCCTAAACCCTAAACCCTAAACCTTCATAGCGCTGCTCGACAGGCGACCGTCGCTCTCCGAGGGGACTAGGCTGAACATCGTTCAGAAGCAGAAAGCCCGGAGCTCATCTGCTGCCTTGGGTTGAGGAGTTCAGGGTTTAGGGTTTAGGGTTTAGGGTTTAGGGTTTAGGGTTTAGGGTTTAGGGTTTAGGGTTTAGGGTTTGGGGGTTCTTCTCGGGGTGCATGGGAAGAATCCCTTGTCAGGCCTGAACCAAGAAGCCCTTCATGTCATCTGACATCCCAAGCCCGAAAACCCGAAACCTAAACCTCAAACCCCTAAACCCCTACACCCGTAAACTTTAAACCCTAACGCTAAAACCCCAGAGCCTGAATCAACTGCTTAGGGCCTGTAGGGTTTAGGCTGTGGGGGCTGAGGGTTTCATGGGAAAGTCTCAGCCCCAATCTTGAAGTTTAGGGTCAGTTTAGAGTTCCAACACGTCTTCACGGCTTGGGTTGACTGCTGGAATGATCGGTTTGTGTTCAGGGTTTCGGGTTGAGGGTGTTTAGTACCTTCAGCACTGAGCCCCGAAGCCGAACCAGAGCCCTCTACCCTGAAACCCTGCGAGAGCCACACCGCACAGGTCATCTAGAGGGAAAGCAGTCTTTCCTGGAGAATCTTGCCATAATTCTTCCCTGCGTCAGGAGCCCACGGGGATTGTGGGGAGTTTGGCAAGCTTTCGAGGTTTCGGGGTTGTGGGGTTTAGGGTTTATACGAACAGTCCTTAATAGGGATTATAGTACCCCCTATTCTAATCCCTATGAAGGACGGTTCGTATATCCCAAGTTTAGGGTTTCGGTAGTGTGCTGCTGGAATCAGGGAGAGAACAAGGACCAGTTCCTTTGTTGCGCCATCTTGGTTGTGTCGGATTCAGGCATTCCATTCCCCCTAAGCCCTAAACCCTAAGCCCTAAACCCTAAACCCTAAACCCTAAACCCTCTCAAAACCAGCCGTGTGCAGACACCCGCAGGTTCTTCTGTGCACTGGGAAAGCATGCCCCTAAACCCTTCAGCCCCAAAGCCTGTAACGCCTAAACCCTCAAGCTCCCTAAGCTCTGGGGTTTAGGGTCTGGGGTCTAGGATTTCGGGTTTAGGATTTCGGGTTTAGGGTTTAGGGTTTAGGGTTTAGGGTTTAGGGCTTCTGCGCGCGCGCAGGAGACGGGAGCTGTTTCATGCGGTTTAGTCAGTTTTGCGCCCGATGCGATGCTTGAAATTTGGTCTTCCCTCTTCCCTTCAGAGAGCTTCCGGCCCATTTAAACCCGCACCATGCAAGTGAAAAAACAGAGGGCCTTCTAGCCTAGAAGCCCAAGCCCTAGCCAGGGCTTGGGCCAAAAGATTATACAGCATGGAAGCCGATCATTCGGGAGCCAAATATTCCCTAACCCTTCCACCCCAAACCCTAAACCCTAAACCCTCAACCATCTAAACCCCCTAAACCCTACACCCTAAACCCTAAACCCTAAACCCTAAACCCTAAACCCTAAACCCTAAACCCTAAACCCTAAACCCTAAACCCTAAACCCTAAACCCTAAACCCTAAACCCTAAACCCTAAACCTAACCCTAAACCCTAAACCCTAAACCCTAAACCCTAAACCCTAAACCCTAAACCCTAAACCCTAAACCCTAAACTGAACCCCCGCTGGGGCCGAAGCTCTGAAACAGGGAGAGGAGGAGACCTCACTTTGCCCCCCCTTGCCTAGGGGCCCCCTTAGGGATGCCTTATCTTTCATGGCCTCGAGGGGTTTAGGGTTTAGGGTTTAGGGTTTAGGGTTTAGGGTTTAGGGTTTAGGGTGTTGAATGAGGGTTCAGGGGTTCATGCGTTTACGGGTTTAGGGTTTTCAATCTAGGAAGAATACAAGGCCCGACAAGTCTGATGCTAAAGCATGGCATGCCATCACAGGCAAGGCAGGCTACATGTGCCCTGACATGTACTTACTTGGTAGCCCAGTGGTACCCCTTTCCCCTGTTTGGGTTCAAGGTTCCTTTAACCAACACCCTAAACCCTAAACCCTAAACCCTAAACCCTATTATGATATGGCTACTGGGCCTGTTGGCCCTTTGGGGGGACGAAGTTTCGGTGTTTCCACTTTGGCTGTGGGCCGCTTTGTTTCGCCGCCTGCATGGTCTCACCGCGGATTGAACCCTTGCGCCAGTTGCGCCCTGGTGAACTCAGCGCGCCTTGACATGAGGATGATCTACCTCCACACTTTTTGAACGTATACGCTCTAGAAAAGCCCTTATAGATATGCCTGCACCCGAGGAGCTAAAACATGCAAACCCTAAACCCTAAACCCAAAAGCGCTGCAAAAAGACATGATGACGAAACGTGTTTGCCTCCGCTGCGGCCTGCATCCGAAGAGGCCGCGGGCAGAGGGCCAGAGAAATTTTAAAGAGCGCGGCGCGTACTTTATAGGGGTCGTCTTCTCTTTTCTGGTGCCTTTTATAAGTATACTCTTAAGTAATATCCTCAAAAACCCTGTTCTGAATATGAAAAGCCCCTATATTATCCTTTCTGATATAATTCGTTCGATTGCGCTTGGGATTCGGGATTTTCCGTTCGAGCGGTGCTGCTTCTTGCGAGAAACGCACGGTGCCCACCACGTCTCCCCGCATAAGCCCCAGGGTTTAGGGTTTAGGGTTTAGGGTTTAGGGTTTAGGGTTTAGGGTTTAGGGTTAGGAATCCCCAAAGTCTACGGGAAGTTACATGGTCCCTAGTATGGTCCCTCTTCTTTAAAGGGTTTGGGAGTATGGGCGCTTGGGCTTTGTAAGGCATCTAAGGGGTATGAAAGGGGTCCCATGTAAGGGCCCATACTAAGGGGTAATTACTGAAAGACTCCGAGAGCCCTATCAATCCGACACCTTGAGCCACCAACCTCCGAAATCCGAGCCAACTCATCCCTTTGTCTCCCCCCTGAACCCTTTCCCCGAAACCCGAAGCCCTAAACCCTAAACCCTAAACCCTAAACCCTAAACCCTAAACCCTAAACCCTAAACCCTAAACCCTAAACCCTAAACCCTAAACCCTAAACCCTAAACCCTAAACCCTAAACCCTAAACCCTAAACCCTAAACCCTAAACCTAACCCTAAACCCTAAACCCTAAACCCTAAACCCTAAACCCTAAACCCTAAACCCTAAACCCTAAACCCTAAACCCTAAACCCTAAACCCTAAACCCTAAGAAAAAGCCTCTGCAACTTAGATTCCACAGGCCTGGGAAGCCCAACACTTGACGCTAGCCAGGGCTTTGGATGTTAAGGATGTTCTAAGATACGGGTGAAGGGCAAAATCAGTCCAGGAATACACAGGGTTTGTAGGGTGCAGGGTTTAGGGTGTAGGGTTTAGGGTTTAGGGTTTAGGGTTTAGGGTTTAGGGCGGTTTAGGGTTTAGGGTACGTATGCAAGTCCCCTTGCTAGGAGTTCTCATCTTCTTTCCCTGAACGCGGACTCAAATCGATCCACAGCAACGAGAGGTTTAGGGAGTGGGTCTCACAAGGCTGTGGGGAGTAGTTGGGGTTCGTGATTTTCGGGGGTTTGGGTCTTGAAGCGCCATGTTTCGGGGGGGGTCTAGGGTTTTTTGGAGCTGGGCTTTCAAGACGTGAAGGGTGGATCGGGTATGATGAAAGCATCGCAAGTTCCCTCGGACCTTAAAGACAGCAAGAGTGGCAATCTGTGGCGAAGATCAAACCTAGACCCTAAACCCTAAATCTGTTCTTGGTGGAGAAACACAGGAGATGACGTGGTTCGGATCACAGCATGTTTATCAGACTTCAGAGTTCAGGGTCGCCCGGAAACCCCGAAAACGTGAACCACTCCTTAACCCGTTCAGAGCTGAAATCCTCAGCACCCTCCACATAACCTTTACGGTTCACAGGCCCCGAATTCACCTGGGGGTTGAGGAGTTCGGGGTTTGAGAGTTTTTTGGGTTCAGTTTACAGGTTGGGGGTGCTGCGGAGTTAAGCCGGTGCACGAGTGCACAGTCAGCAACATATAGTATACTCTCTCTATATATATATATATATATTCTATTACATATATATGTATATCATACATATATCTCTTAAATAATGTTGTGATGCCTAATCTAGGGGTCAGAATAAATACTAATCCCTATCTAGGACTGTTAGTATAAGGGGGAACATGCCAAGAAGTTCCCCCTGAGCCCTGCCTCACAAGTCAAGCAAGACACCTGAAACCAGGCATGCTTGAACCGCAGCAGAGGGCTGAGGGGAGGCTAGGAGGCCCTAAGCCCTAAGCCCTAAACCCTAAACAGGCTTCCCCAAACCCAAAAGCCTATAAACCCTGCCAGCCCCACGCATGCACCGCAAACTCTCTGTGACCCCACAAAGACAGCAGCGAAACCCTAAACCTGAGGGTTTAGTGTATATTTAGGGTTTGGGGTTTAGGGTATAAGCATCTACAAGCCCTAGAAACCCCACAAACATTTTAAACTAGGCCGTCGCTACCACCACGACTCCTCAGCTCACAAGACCCTCAGCCCCAACACACCTCCGACCAGACCCGCCCTGAAACCCTTAGCCCTACACCCGAGAGTGGGTTTCGGGTTTTGGGTTTAGGGTTAGGGTTCAGGGTTTAGGGTTGATACACCCTAAGCCTTAAACAGAGCAGCCTTTGGCCCACCCCTACCGTTGAAGATGCCATGGTCGCATGGCCTCGCCACACTTGAAGAGGTTGGGCTTGGGGTTTAGGGTTTAGGGCTTGGGGCTTAGGGCTTAGGGTTTAGGGTTTAGGGTTTAGGGCTTAGGGTTTAGAAGGTTAGGGCTTAGGGTTTAGGGCTTAGGGTTTAGGGTTTAGGGTTTAGGGAAACATTTGCCCAAGCATCTGGAAAACAAAGCGAGAGCTCTGCCCCAAGGTTGCTGGAATGTTGTTAGGACTTTGCCCTTGACCCGAAGCTCCATCTTCTTCAATCCTGTCTTCTGACCAAGGAGCTGTCCTTCAAAGTAGCTTCAGGGTTTTTGCTAGATTATGGTTGACTTGTTAAGGTTCAATCCCTCAACCCTAAACCCTAAGCCCTAAGCCCTAAAACCCTAAACCCTAAACCCTAAACCCTAAACCCTAAACCCTAAACCCTAAACTCTATGTGGTTGCTTAGGATTCGTTGGTTCGAGGTTTTTAGCCTTTGACTGCCCTTCTGCTCCAGCGAAGTCTCCCATGAGGCATCAGAACCATGGCCTTCGCCTCCGGCGGAGGAGGACGTGAGCGTCGAATCGGCTGCTCATGCATATCCCCTGGAGGTATGAGGTACGGGCTTTTGGGGCAGGGTGTAGGGTTCAGGGTTTAGGGGGTCTAGGCTCTATAGGGCTAAGAAAGCCTTTCGCCCCCGAAAGTATAGGGCTAAGGGTGCATGAAAGGGTTTAGTGTACTTGCCCCGACCCCTAAGCCTAGACCCTCATCTCTGGCAGGACGGGGAGCGCGCCCCTCTTCCCACTCTGGCAGCTCCGCGACGACGCGCCGCCACCCAGTTTCTGGCCCTTGGGAGTTTTCTAGGGATGAGGCCCCCAAGCCCTAAGCCCCGAATGGGGGGTTTACGGAAAAAGGGACTTGTAACAAGGGGGTTGCCTGTTGAAATCAAC